TCAGACACTCTGGTGACCAGGCCAGGTGAACCTTTGATCTGACCTGGAACAGATACTTGCTTTTTTTTCATTATATTATCCTGTAGAACAATAACAGATTTTTTTAAAAGTAAATTTTAAAGTGAGGGTTTGCCCAGAAATTTCTCTTTAACAGTGTAACACCACAAAAGTGACGTGCCCCATCTCTGGCTCCTTTGTGTCTCAGACAGAGTGTGTACCCAGGACAGACACACCTGCACCTTGACTCTCCTGACTCAGCAGTTCTCCACATCCACCCCATCTGCTCCACCACAGGGACATCTGGCTCACACACTGCGACAGGCTCATCAAACCAGCCTTACACCATGCCAGAGGCACTGAATGCAGTTTTAGACCTGGAATATCATAGGGAAGTTTTTGGAAGTTAACAAGAGAAAGCATGGTCAGGGTGATAAACTCAGTGAGAGACTCCCCACTCCTTCTGAAGTGGGCACAACAATCACACAGAAAAAAAATTAAGTTTAGGTTTGTTACTTACAAACAGATTATCATTTGGAAAAACAATACACATAAACCCAGTAACTGTTTAACAGCCCTACTCTAGTTAGAGAACAGACTTTAAGGCATGTTGACTTCTCACTAAATTTGTTTCACAGGTATCTACTGATATACCAATAAATCATACCATAAGTGATGCTCTGATCCCATTGAAGTCAAGAGCAAAAGGTTATAGTGACTGAGCAGAGGATGTATTTGGCTTTACAAACCAGGGAGCAAAGTAGAGTAGGTCCTCACTCTGTCTTATATTCCATGTGAGAACCTCTAATGTGTTGTGACTTTATTCTCCTTTCTCCAGTCACTGTTTATCTGCTGACATTTCAAGGGAGGTTTTGTTCATTTGGGTGGATTCCGAATCAGTCCCAACCAGTGAGCAGAGCTGACTCCTTCTGCCTGGCTAGTGGTCTGACTTCTCCACACGTCTGAGCTTGGTGCTAACATTCCAAACATTGCAGATGGAGCTCCAAATCCAATGAAGAGTTAGTTTATATATAGCACGGTACTTCACATACTTTACAATCAAATTATTACTAATAAAATTCATTAGAAACTGGAAGTGAAGGCTGATGGTATCCCTCTGTTAATTATGGCTCCAATTCCCTAGATTGCATACTTACCAAGGAATACTGAGGGTGCGAACAGTCAGGCTTGTAAGAAAGCAGGGAAGCACTTCACTGCTGGAGCTGCTGCCTCTGCAGTGGTGGCTGCTGGCAGTGCTCCTTACAGAAGAGGGCACTGCTGCTCCAGGCACTGTGCAAGGGAAGAGGCTCATCCTTCCTCCAACGCACTGACTGTGTCATTGCATCAAATGAATGCAAAACCCTTGCCCACTTGCCAGTGTTCTCTGCGGGGGCAGCAGAAGAGAATATCTGTAAGCTGAGTCTCTGGTCGTGATGGCAATGTGGCACAGAGCAGGAGCTGTCAGCATTAAGCCCCAAAGAGCTCCCAGTCTCTGCATTGCCAGTCTTCAGCCCTGCTCTGCAGCCGAGTAAATAACATTTACATAGCATTTGAATTTATGTTTCACTCACTCCCTGTGAATGCAACTTTTGCATTCACCCGATGAACAATAATTAGAAGGAGAAGGAGAGTTTACTACCCTGTACACAGTGAAATGCAGATACACTGATATGCAGCAAATGTGGGCAAAAAAAATTAAAAAAAAACCAACTCTGTGTTTCTTCTACTCTCTCTTCTTCACTTTTCAGTACTAGGGCTTTCTTCCCCCCTCTCCCCCCAAAAAAAATCCCCCAAAAAACCAACTACTGCTGACAGCATAAAAAGTCAAGAACAATTTGCTTAAATTGAAAAATAATGTAAATTAACAATATTAAAGCTACCATCTTTATTTACTGCCTATACTAACTTCTAATACTTCTGTTGCTTTGTTGACCTTAGCCAGGGTTGCTTTCATAGCCACTGAGCCCAGGATGTCCTGAGGAATTTGGAGGTATTTCCTTCTTCTAAAGAGGCAATATAGGGAAGTCAGTGACTTAAGCCCAGCTCCTAAATCTCAGCTTTTCTGGCAGCCTCTGAGTTGTGGTATGTCTACCACAGCTGAGGCACAGAATTGTATTCACCTGGTGCTTGCATCTACATGGAAGAAGGTGTTTTGCTAAAGCATTGGCCTTACTTCTCTTCTGATGGATGTAGAGGAAAGAAGTTGCCAACTCTTAAACATAAGTCTGTATCTGTGGGCTGTGGACACCTGTCTCAGAGGAGGTGCCTCACTTTCCTGTAGCTGAAGGCCATCTGAGCTCCTGGCAAACATAAACAGTGTTGTACCCAATGTTGTCCACATGTGGGATGCACAAGCCATCAGCTGCCAGGTGTTCCTCCCCCAGTTTCCCTGGCTGCATACCTGCAACGCACCTCATCCCCAGGCTAATGCACTGCAAGAGTGAGTAGAATTCCCAAAGGTCCATTGCCTTCATTTCAGGAGCAGAATAAAAAGACAAGGACCCAGTAAGGGCAAATGGGCAGGTAAAACTGTGAGCATTTAATTGACTGGCTTAAGTAGAGGACAGTGGAACACCTGTGTAACCTGCACTGTAGCAGTGCCCAGGGTCAGAAATCCTGTGTACACAGGGCCTCTTGTCACATGCAGAAAACAAAAGCCACTTTTGTGGTCTTTCAAAGAGTACCAGGGGTGATGAATTGCAGTTCAAAATTTCTGACCAGAGATACTGGTCAGAAGACACTGTTGTCTCCAGTGTCTCCTCCATGAGGTCAGCAGTCATGGCAGCTCTTTGAACAGAGTCAGGGTTTTAGACTGGATGGACTGGACTTCATCTGCCAGCACCACAGCCGGAGCCACCCTCCCGGCAAGTAGATGCCAGTTAGGAGCTGACAATCTGCATAACCAGGACTCTGCTCCCAGATGGCACAGATAGCACTTGCCACACGGTGGGTGCCTCCTCAATGTAAAAAAGTTTGCCTGAGCCAAGGCAAACCACAAACCAGTCAGCAGTAGGGAAAAGAACAGCCAGTCTCTGGCTCCACAGTCCTGCCACATGCTTCTCCACAGTTAAAGACCTTTGAGTAAATCACACTGTCACATTTGAGAAAATTTCAGCTCTGATGTTCATTTCAAGCTGTTGAGGCTGTGTTGCTTCCTGGACCATACTATCTTTTCTCAAACATGTAGTTTGGATTTATGTTTAGGAACAGGTGCTTGGTTGTGAATGAGTTCCAGATACAACTCCTACAGTGTCCACATGTATGTTGTCACTAGCATCTGCAGTAGTCACAGGAATTAGTCAAAACACCAGAACAGAATAAATACAATCAATAAAGGGTAGGGGCTTCCTAGGCTGACCAAACATAGGCATTGCTTTAGTGTAGGTCCTGCCTGCACTTTTGGGCCAAAAGTATATTGCCTTTCCTAATTTTCATATATTACTTTGCCTTATTTAGCAGTAATGATGTGTCTCTTTCAGTGCACCAGTGCTAAGTGAACTTGTTATATTCCTCCCATCCACCAGTCACTAGGCACTGCTGGTCATCTACTCCCCCAGGTAAATTCCAAGTTAGCCCATTTATTTTACTTCCACAGAAATAACCTATGAAAAAGCAAAGCTCACCAGGGTGCCATCCCCTTTGCAGTACAGAGTCTGAGTTCTCAACTTGGGAAGGCAGAAGCCCAGTCAAAAAAAAGCATAAAGACATGGATCTACTGTCACTTTGGCAGACACTGGGTTTGAAGCATTCCCTATTGTTTAACCCCAGCTGACAACTCAGCACCAAGCAGCCACTCACTCACTCCCCCACAGTGGGACAGGAGAGAGGATTGGAGGAGTAAGAGTGAGTGAACTCATGGGTTGAGATAGAAATAGTTTAATAGGGAAAGCAAAAACTGTGTGCACAAGGAAAGTAAAAAAAGGGATTCTTTCACCACCTTCCCCGAGCAGGCAGGTGTTCAGCCATTCCTCTGGACAGTAGGACTCCATCACATGTAATGGTGACTTAGGAAGACAAACACAATCACTCTGAACATACCCACCTTCCTCCTTCTTCCCCCAGCTTTACATGCTGAGAATGTCACCATATGGGATGGGATATCCCTGTGGCTAGCTAGGATCAGATGTCTTGGCAGTGTCCCCTCCCAGTTACTTGTGCTCTCAAGACTCCTCCCTGGTGGGGTGAGGTGAGGAGCAGAAAAGGCCCTGCCCTGTGTGAGCACTACTCAGTGATAGCTAAAACATGTCTGTGTTATCAACACTGTTTCCAGCAAACCCAAAACACAGCCATACACGTACCAGCTGCTTTGAAGAAAATTAATTCTACTCCACCTAAAACTAGCACAGCTGTGCACTGTTGTATATGTTGTCCTGTGCAGTTATAGCTAAGACTGTCCACTCTAGCCACAGTAATGTGCGGTTGGTTATTATCCCTTCATTGTACTTTAACTAACTCTAAATCTGCTAATTTGTGTTCTGTGTGAAGGTGCTAAATGGGGTGATGTCTGAAAGCATCATTTCACAAACCATCCTCAGCCACGTGCTGAGAGTGAGAGCACAGGCAGGCCGCCCGCAGGGCTGTCCATCCCTGGAGCACATGGAGCCAGGACCGATGTCTGCCCCCGACCTGCGCTGGAGCTCTGCACATGCTCGCTCTGCCAGCCCGGTCCCACTCACCCAGCCCTCGGCTGCTGGAGCCTGGGGAGCCGCAGCATCCCTCGGCTGCTCGTAGGCACTGCCACTCGCTGAAGACCTGACATTTTTCAGAATCTCAGTTAAGCTTCCAGGGACGTCCTTTTAGGAAGGTCTGTGACAGCATACAGTGTTTCCATCAGACTCTTGCCTTGTCTACAACCTGCAGCCGTAAAAGCGAGTTTAATTCTCTGACAAGAAGACTGGCAACAGCTGTCATTGCACCGTGTACTGTAATACATGAGATTCTTCCCACAAAACCCTGGAGATGGCATTTGTCTGGTCTGGTTGTAAATAATGAGATAGATCACAATGGATTTCAGTTCATCATCAGTGTTTGATCAGCACAAAGGTAAGTCACCTGCTGCTAATTTCAAAATCCTTTGGTCCTCCCATGTGTCCCATGCAAATGTACTAAGATTACTTGACAGAATGAATAACATAAATTTTTGGAGAAGAACAGTTTTATTTTGTTTGCACATAAAGGAATTCTTCCATCGGTTTCAGACAGATATTTAAGTCTATTATCTACAGTGATTTTTAAAAATAAAATTTTCAGCAGAATAGCAACAACATCTAATTACTCTTATGCTTAGCATTGAGAGATGGATGTATATATTTTTATATTGTATATTAATCCTCTTATGGATATATATTAAAAGTTATTGCAGTACTTGCAAACAGCAGTTTAAAATGGAGTAAAAATTTAACGATAGCTGATATTCGTAAGTCTACATTAAAAGGATTAGGTGCTGACAAGTGATCGACTTCGTTTTGGCAAATCTAAGCTGTATAGGTGAGTATTACCACAATTGTGCATTTTGTATATCATTAAGCCCCCTAACGTGAAGATTTTCTACATGGTAAGGTTGCTGTGGAAATACAGATGTATCTTTGTTGTCTGTTTTGAAGTTAAGTGTTGTATCTTTATTTGCCAGTATAAGCTTTTATGTTTTACGGCTTGATGTATATTACAAGTGCAGTGGCATCCTTTTTATGTTCTGAAAGCATGAGACTGTCACTTTGATCATCCATGTTGCCCCAAATTCTCTTTTAAGTCAACTTGCCAAATACTGTGTGTGTAGTGGGCACAGTTTCCAGTGCACACCCGCAAAATGTCCAAGCTGACACGGCCACGCTGGCCCCACAGTGAGGGTGCTGGCTGTGGAACAAAGATGCAGGGCAGGAGGAAGACAGACACTGTGGTGCCCTCTGGGCAGCCAGGTCCCACAGGTTGTACTTTTGTGCTTGCCTACACTTCTTTGGTGAACCCAAAGTAAGTATAGCCCTTGGAAAGTGGTGGTTTTGTGGCTACCTTTCAGCCACAGCAGCACTTAAAGCCTGAGCGAATCTTGGGAGTACTGGTTTACACCAATCCAGCTGGGACCCACCCCCATGTAGTGGTGGGGAGGGTGGGAAGCAAAACTGAGTGACAAGAGATAAAAACGTACTATCAGCAAGTATAAAGGAGACAGGGAAGTGCAATGGTGGAAGGGATACTGCAGGAATAGAGACAGGTGCTCCTAAGCTTGTGAATGACATAAGGAGCATTTTCCCCAGCAGGACATAGGTGTGGAGCTGTCTGAGCTTCTGCAGCTCCAAACAGCCATTCTCAACCTCTACTTGTGCAGCACTAGGAGTATTCCCTGTGCCACATGCTGACTCAGCAGGGCTCAGGCTGGGGAGGCAGAGAGGAAACCCTGCATGCTCAGTGCCATGGAGATGGCTGCCAGGGAGCTATGGAAGTCATGCGAGGAATAAGGCTGGAATATCATCAGGCCTGGGAAGGAGAAGTCAAGTTTCCAGATAGTTAGGGGGCAGAGAGCAATGCAGGAGACTACTGACCCTAACCAGCTTATCCAGATAGAAGTGAGAGAGCTGGAAGGCAACATCTGCCTGTTGCCTTTGGTCCTAATCCTCAGCCCCTCCTCCTGCCAGGACACTCTCCACACTGACCCATTCTAATTCCTGTCCAGCATCATCTCCAGTCCATGTCACACTCTACTCATAGCAAATCCTCCAGATAAATTCACCATATCCCCTTCACCACCACTGCAGGAATGCTGGCTCATTAGGTGATTGGTGGCTTACTGCTTGCCTTCCCAGCTAGCTGCATGGGAGGTGGATGGGGAGCAGGAGCATAAAACACACAGCAGTGGGACATTGAACTCAGTGGTTATCATGCAGATAGTGTTCTGTTCAAAATTAACAGTGTATGGTGGATTTTATCTAAATACCATCTTAATTTTGTGGCACAATACTGATTTAAGCAGACATAATTTTTTTAGCAAGGGGAAGGGGAATGTCTTTCATTGGAGCAATTTATAACAATGGAATAATAGAAACTAGCTTTCAAACAGACTAGATTGATATCTGTTGGTCCAAAAAAATAATTCAACCCTCCCCACAAACCTTTTTTTCTCCACAACACACATCAGAAAAATCTCCTTGCTACAGATTAAAAAAAAAACAGCATTCCAGGCTTGAAAATCATATTGTCTCTTTGCAACACATCCTATAGTACTGCTCATTAATATCTTATAATACTTAACAATAGTAACAGCAACATCGGACTTACAGTAGGCAAGCAGTACCCAAACCAGAAACCCCTTCCCTCTTAATACTGCTCAGTGCATTTAAGTAAATGTGTGCTGTTCCTGGCTTCAAGTGTTTACCAGTTAAACAGAGAAACTAGACAAAGGCCTGCACTGGTACATACACAGCCAGGCAAAGATGGGGATTATTACTTTGTTAAAAATTCCATAAATCCATAATATTAAAGAATGAATTACAGTTTCCAAAAACTGCACTCATCCACCCCCCACTGACCCTTGGCACTGATGGGCTGAAACCAAACAAACTGCCCAGTATTGTGTCCTGACAACAAAGTGTAGGAAATCACATAAGGCTAGTGGTGGAGACAAGGGTTTATGAGAGAGAGGGGAGTAAATTACATGCATAAATATTTCTTCTTCACAAGGAACGTAAAATATCCTATTATCTTGTCTTTGGTTTTCTGTACTTTGTGTTTTAGAAAGTTCTAAATCAGCCATTGTCAAGCTCTGGCAAGTTTATTTAGACCTTAAAAATCCAATGCGTCAGAAAGCATGCACTTATATACATCTAACATGCACTTTGTAGAACAACATATCAGCTGACATCAGAAACTGTGTAACACATGCCTTCTTCATAGGACAGTCAGAGAAGAATTAATATCACAAACAGCATAATTTCATTGTTCTGAATCCTGTGATCATTGTGTCTCTCTTTGTATACCCCCTTTTCTGATCAAAAGACAGCTACTTTGTCTTGAAGAAATGACACACTTTTAAAACACTGTGGCTTATTTCAGATAGACTGGCTTTTAACTTTGATTCTTTCCCAGGATTTTAGCTACAAAAGATGCCACAACTATGTCATTTGGTCTTTCCTTCCAGACCTTTCTACACTGCTGTTGTGTCAGCCTGCAGTTTCTCCCTTTCTCTATATGCAGGCTCTTAGTTGGACATTCTGCTTTCCTGAAGCTGACTGACAGCTTCCTTTCACCAGTAGCACAGCAATTTTCCAAAATACAACGTAAAATGTATCTGAAATGGGACTGGCATTTATAGAATTGCAAGACAGTAATGGAGTAGCTCTAGCATATTTGAAGATGGAGGATCAGGCATTTGGCGTTCACAGTCCCTTTATGCCACATGTTGCTGGTGCCCCAGCCACAGCCAAGCCCCCTGGCAGGGTAAGCTCACAGAGGGGGCGAGGGACACAAGCACTCAGTACCTAACTGTTGCCTTCTGCAAAATGCCCACTTTCCAAACCACTCCTCTTCTGTCCAGGGAGGTGTCTTCGAAAAGAAATGGCCTGTGAGCTTTGTGCCTATGTTCTTTCCTTCCTTGACAAGGTAAGCTGGAGGAAGATGAAATGGTAGATGTTGTGTCACCTGGAACCAAGTGCATCCAGCATAAATGACGTTCAAGCCCTCCTGGCATTTTCTGCTCCCTATCATGTGAAGCATCAGAAGACTATATATGTCTTCCTCCTCACCCACCATGCAAAGCCATATGGATCATGTTAAAGACACCCACTGGAAATTGTGGAATTAGTGAAATTAGGAATAAGTCTACTTTATATCAGATGCATAATATGGGCACTCACCAATTCCTCCTGGCCCAGGCTCCCTTGCCAGCAGGGTGTCAGCCTAGTCCACCTGACTCTCCTTGCTGTGACAGCTAGGACTTGGGGGGGAAATGTGAATCCTTGAGGCTTCATGACCCCATCCCTTAACAGGAATGGAGCCTGTGTTCTGCAAGATCAGACATGGGGAAAACTGTACTCATTCATTCATCCATCCATCCATTCGTTTAGCGTTTTGCTTCCTCTCCTCATGTAGAAGGATAATTGCTCTGGGGAAAACAGATTCAGCCTAACATAAGCAAAGGCACAGGGGAGGTGTTTTTGGTTTTACCTAGATGATAAGGGGCAGAGGCAGTCAGAGACACACATGAAGGTGTGCATCCATGTCCTCATCTTCCTGCCATACCACCCTCCAGGTAAGCAACTGCTGTGCTCAGGAGATAGAGATTTTCATTTTGTGGTTGGATTTCTCTGCTCCTGACACACAACAGGAAGATATAACAGTACTTACAAGGCAAAAAAAGTACAAAATGTGTAATGTATCAAAGGAGGTGAGTGCCCCTTTGATTCACTGTCTCAGTACATCTGATGGTTTCTTTCCCAATGCCAGCAGCATCTTTTCTGTACCATACCCAGCCAGTAACCATGCACAGCTGTACACGACATGCAGCTGTGGGAGGGCCTGTGTTGGTGCTTATGGCTGGCACCCCCCATGTACCTCCAGAGACTAGTCAAGAGGAACAACACAAGCAGTCAATGTCTGTCCTGTTTCCTTGCCTCCCACCCAGCCCAAATTACACCTCTCTTCGAGTAAGGGACTAGTTCAGACCTGAGCTTGTTACTAACGTGTTTTTGCTGAGTTTGCCATTTGTGAAAGGTGTCTGCAGGTCTGATGTGATAAGGAAGTATTAACTGGTCCTGTGGTAAAGTTACTTCTTTTTTTCATATATACTGGTCACTGATGATGACTCTCCAGAGGCAGTGACTCTTAGTCTCTCCTGATCTCCCAGGCACAAAGGACAAATCTTCTGAGCCAAATGAATGCTTCCTTCAGCAATAGACTCCTCAGTAGAATAAAAAATCAAGTTAACATTTTTATTCACAAATTTTATGAAATCTGTAATTTAAAATACCAGTTAGAAGAAAGAAAATAATCAGGTTCTCTTTAGTTGAGAAGCAATGGAAAGGGAATCTGTGGCAAAGGCAGAATTAACATTAGCTTTCTAATTTTCCAAAGCCCACAACCAGAGCTCCAGCTTTGACAGACTAACCTATTCCAGAGTAAGAGCAGATTGTGTTTCCATGGCAGCCAAATTTTGAAGTCCAGAGTGCTGATTGCACCACAGGGAGAGAAGGTCACATGTGGGAATTAAGCTGTAACTCCCAACACAGATCTCATGCAGGTTCATCTGAGGCAATGTCTGATCACAATGCGAATAGTGTGGCTAATGCTTTACAATAATATTTAAAGATCACTCAAAAATATGTATGACAACGTTTAAAATATTATATCAGTGCATTAAGAATAATGTATTATTTGATTATGATAAAGACTTTATACAAACTTTTCAAATTCTGTTTAAACTGTCTCCATTTTTTCTGCACAGCTTACATAGTCATGCTATCTCCAGAAGATAGAACAGTACAGATAAGTCACCAGTCACTTTATCTGTCTTTCCTTTGATCAACTCTCTAGTGTGATTTAGGTGTCAGTTTTACTTTCTCCTGTTAACAAGGTAGTGCAGCGACTGGACAAATTATATGCTCTGTAGCTCTGACCCTGGCCTGGTTTCACCTGGGATATAATTAATTTTCTTCTTAAAAGCTGGTACAGTGCTATATTTTGTTTTTTAGTAAAAGAGTAATGTTGGTGACACAGCAACTTTAGTTGTTGCTTGGTACTGCTCATCCTAAATCAAGGACTTTTCAGTGTCAGCAAGCAGGAGTACAAGAGGTGGGGGGATCATGGCCAGGAGATCGGACCCAAACTGGCCAAAGGGATTTTCCATACCACAGGCCAACATGCCCAGTATATAAAGTGGGGGGATGGCTGGGCATCAGTCAGCAAGTGGTGAGCAGTTGTATTGTGCATCACTTGCCTTTCTTTGTTTTTATTCCTCTCTATTTCTCTCTCTCTCTCATTCTCTCTCTCTCTCTCTCTCCCTCCTTTTCATTACAATTACTTAATATTATTGTTGTTGTTGTTGTTAGTATATGTTACTTTATTTCAATTATTAAACTGTTCTTGTCTCAACCCACCGATTTACCTTTTTCTGATTCTCCTTCCCACCCTAGCAGGGTCAGGGCAAGGACTGAGCGAACAAGGGCTCCAGACAGAGTTCCTGTCTGAGGTTAAACCACAACAGACCCTCAGCCACTGTGAACAGCTGAGCTCGCTGCAGCTGTACTTCTTTTTGAATTAACAGAGATCAGAAACATGAGATTGTGTCTGACCTAGATATACATATCTAGAGCATTTTACCAGTATGTCTGATTTGATCCAGCGCCAAAAAATTAACTCTTTTGACTCCTAGAGTTAACAGCTTAATAGTCCACTTGAAGCCAAAGGAGATGTAGGCATGTGGAACATAGGATGACCAGTCTGCAAGCAAAGAAGGAATTATTACATTAATTTCTCTAGAAAGAAAAATCTGAGGAGCGTTCGGGAACAGGTCCTGCAAGGCATTGGTTTAAATATTAACTCACACTGTAGTTGCCAAACAAAATAAACTTATCGTGGGTTCCAAGCAATATTCCATTTTTCATTTCTGCAGAAATAATCAACACAAACTACTGTTGCCAGAAGTTCACTCCTCTAAGAAGAGAATTCCCTTGGACAGCACAGGGAAGTGAAAAGCCTTGGTCTTCTGACTGGTGCAAGAATAACATTGAAACTGAAAACATCTGGGTCCTGATTTCTTCCTCCATCATAAGAGTGTAGCCAGCAACATTATAAGCTAGTTCAGTTATTACTTCGTTGTTTCTCACGTCCTGTTACATTAATGTTAGTATAATTTCTTATAAGAGGTGGAAACTTTCCAGAAGTTTTCTTAAGTCCTTTCAGTGTCCATGTCTGAAAGTTTTTGGAAGACATTGTGGTGACAAGTTCCAGATGACTAATAAAGTCCACAGTGATGTTTAGATACACTTTGTTCCACCCCAAGTCACATAGTCATTAAAACTCAGTGAGATGTGTCATTATTTTATAATTTTTGTACTTGCTCTCTGCTTACTCATGACATGCTCCTTTTCTGCAGCTGATGCAGCAGAAGAGATTGACTTGACTGTGGTTTACCAAGCAGCAGCCAATGGTGATGTGACCACACTGATTGCAGTGATTCGGGAAGATCCTTCTATCCTTGAGTGTTGTGACAGAGAGTGTTGTGACAGAAGGCTGGGTTTGTTCTCAGGAGACTTGTTGCTTCAGCTTGCAATTAAATTTTCCAATTTTTCATCCTGATTTTTGTGTGCAGAAGATTATATTTAGTAGTAGAATAAATTTGAGTTATTCCACTGGAAATGCACAGTTTGGAGATTTCTTTCTGCATGTAATTGTAATTGCAATTTTTATACGGATTCAAATAAGCTGTTTTACTATAAATAGACAGTACCATTAGTTTATCTTATTTAGGGAGGTGCTGAGAAATTGTTGTCATTTCAGGGAAGGAAAAAAAATATTTTTATCAAAGCCAAAAGCCATACATTCTACACATTTCTGAAGTAGGAGATTACAGTCTTTGTACTTTAAAAGTATGTGTACAGTCACAGCTTGAATGATTTTGTCAAGTAATTTTTTGCCAAAGGGTTGGTTGTACAGTGTGCAGTCATCTACATAATCTGTTTTATCTGTGAGATTATGGTCATTTTGTGTTCAGGTTACTATTTAATGCTTAGTTCTTGTACATTGGCTGAGGTTTATATGCATCTATTTCCCAAGTGAATTAGAGCCACAGATCCCTGGAAGCTGTTCTCAAGAAAGACTTTGTTTATCAAAAGTATTTTTTTAATTGCAGTCTCTTCTATATGAACATTGTCTATTCTAATCTCAAACAGTTTTTACTAAGCTACTGGGGTTTTTTACACTTTAAAGCAAACATTCTAACTGTTATCATTAAAACATTTACTAGTCAGTAGGGAAAAGCTTAATCAAGATAAAATACTCTCAGTCTGGACCTTTAAGGGGAGAGGGACTAGATCCAAAGGGTGGGTGGAGTAGTGGGTGGAGATGGGCTGATCAGCAAATAGAAGTATTTCATCTCTAGAATTAACTTGTTTGCTACACTGTACATACAAATGTAACTAAAGACGAGTTGTGCAATACAAAACACATAGGTCATATCCTGCACGTCTGTCAGAGTCTGTGTGACCTCAGGATGAGTAGCACATTTCCTCAGCAGTCTCACTGAATCCAGTAAGAATAATTATTCTTCAGTTGTGTCTGAAGTTTCTAATAGTCTTATAATTTCTAATTTTCATGTTAACTTCTATATTCCCAGCTTAGTGATTTTAAATTGGTTTGTTGGATTCTGCAGGAAAATTTCTTGCTGTTTTTCAGCGGTTAACAGACTGGAAGGAAGAGGAAGCAATTAAATGACATCATAATACTCTGTGATGAGAGTCAAGTATTAGGTTTGAATGTGGATTTCAGGTTTTTTACAGCATAGAAATTGTTTGCAGAATAATAAAAAAGTTCTTAAGAAAACAGAAAAGAAAATATCCTAGAACAAATCCAGTGTTCAAATTAAGTTGTTGTCTACATAAAGCACCAACTGGCACACATATACCTTTGCAAGGGACAGGGCTTGATTTCATAATTGTTTTGAATACACAGGGAAAGAACAAAGCTGGCATTTGAGAAGATTAGCCAAGCACCATATCTGGCTACTAGTCATTCTGAAGACTATCAGCATCCAAAATGGTGTACAAAACCAAAAGCTCATTTTGGGAACTTGTCAACAGAAAAGCGCTTTTTCCTCCAGAGGAAGAGTTAATGAGGCAAAGCTTTTGCTAATGAAGTCACAGTCTTTTTAAACTTGGTGGTCAGCAAGTGGCATAGCAGTTACTTCTTGCTTACAAAAAGCTGAGTACAACTGTTGGACAGTTGCCAGAGGAAGAATTTGTTAATTTGCCAGTGTTAACATTAGCAAATAAGAAACTGTATCTTATGGCTTTGACAAAATTAAAATTGTAAAAAAATTTGGCTTTCTTCCCCAGGTTGCACCCCTTTGATGCATGCTGTGTCAGGATGCCAGGTTGATACAGTGAAGCTTCTGTTGAAGATGGGAGCAAATATTAATACTCAAGATGCCTATGGACGTATCAGTTTATCTCTGGCAACTTATCTGGTACCAAGACTTGGGGGAGAAGGATGGAGTGAAGAGAGTAAATATGCAGACCAAAAAGAGATTTCTGTTTATACTACAGAAGGAAAAAAAGTGCAAAACATTTGGTTCTAGACAACAGTGGAATTGGTTTTGAAACTTTACTATGATGCAAAGCTGGAGCAATGATTATTAGAAGAGGATCAGGACTCCTGTCAGAGTGTTCTTTCTCTTTCAGGCTGTAAAATCAGTGCGTGGTATGAGGATCTCAGTAGGATCCAGGGTCCTCTGCGTGGTTTCAAGAAAATCACTTATTTTCTGTGCACTGGAAAGTCCCCTCTTGTTCTTAATATGCAGATTAACTTCTTTCCCTCCCACAGTCAGCATCAGATATTTATGCTCCAGTGAGGGCATTCCTGTCTCAAATTCTGGTGGTCAGCAGGCTGGTGTTCCTGCACACCACATAAGCCAAGGCATTGCTTCTTTTCACTGTAGGGCTGGACTTTGCGTGGCCAGGCTGAGAACTGAAGTTCAGGGTGCTGCAAGTTCCAGATATTCAGATCATAAGCAATCCAATCCCCTGATCAACCTACATGCAAATGACAGTAGGGGCAGACACCTCACTGAGACGTTTGGGAAGGGAGATGTGGCACACCTTTCTGAAGCAACAAGGATGGTCCTCTTCTCCTTGGTCTTTTACTCCTTGCAGAAGGTAATTCAGGTTTCAGAGAGAGAATGGGGACCAAGTTAGCTAAGCAGAGTGAGCTTCCATTATTATTTGGACAGAAAGAAGGAATTTTCACCCATACTGCATAGTATGAGTTATGGTTGGATGACTGCCAACCCATTTAAACAGGTCCTGTGGCAGCCTAATTAAATGACATCCCTTGCATCTAGTTTCTCCCTGAAAATTCAGGATAAAAAAATGCTTCTGCTTAGCTTTGCAATGCTTAGCCTGAAAATAAGCATAGAAAATAGCAAAAACAGGCAGTCTTATCCAGTGCAAGGAACATGCCACACTTACTTGAGAAAAAACATTTCCTCTGCAAGATATTTCTAAAGAATTCCATAATTAGTGTCATGCTCCTTTTTTCCTTCCTCCTTTCCTGGAGGAGAAAAAATATTCTTTGGAAAAAAAAAGAAATTACTGGAATAGATTTAAACCACCCAGGCTTAGAAGTTTCCATTTCTGTTTCTGTGATGGATATAACCAGAGATCTAGGGAGCATTTGGCTGTGATGTCTGTCCAGACTGACATGTCAGTCCAGAACTGAATTCAGCAGAGCTGCACAGTCACAATCACATGCAGGATTTGGTGGTCTTGTATTTCCACTAAGAGCTCCAACAGGCATGTACTGATTGCACCATTCCACACCTTTTCCATAAAAATGCTAGTAATGCTAATCCAATATAGCTCATATAGGAGGGAATGGTCTTTACCAACTGCCTGTGGAGATTTTAGCAAAACACTCAAACCAATGCTTGATTTCCCTGGGACTGAAAGATTTACGCAGTTACAACTTACAACCAGACTGTTTACTTGCTTTTATGCTAGGGTGATCAATAGAGGGTTTTAGTCCAAGAACTGATTCATCCCATCTGTTTTGGTGCTGCTTTCAGTCTAACATTGTCACAAATACAAACTTTTGCAACAACGTTCATAAGACCACACTCTGAGGTTTTTACTAGTCATTTGCCATCCCTGCTAAGATCTCACAAAAGAAATGAGATTAAATGTGCATGTTCCTGGTTTAATCTAGCATAATTGTATTCCCATGCAAGAATATGTGTAGCATTTACTAGTGATACAGGAATTAGCAGTGTTTTAATCACTGTTTAGGCAGTCAGTACTTGCCACAGCTGCAGAAAAAAACAAAGTACAGTGTAAATGAAACACCTCACCTTATCAGAGAAATGAATGACCAAGCTAGTTTGAGACCTGGGCTCTGAAGGGAACCATTCTCAGTGCTGAGAAACCTCAACTGGACGAAAAAAAGGCCAGTTCCTCTGCTGTCAGAAATGGCTGCAGTCACACACAAATGCCAGCACCAACAAGAAAAGATTTGGCCTGATGCATTTCCCTTTCCTGTTTACATGCTCTTGCTTTTTAGGGCTGGCTGGAAGGCTGTGTCAGCTTGCTCAGGAACAGTGCTAAGCAGAACATACCTGACAGAAATGGGAGATTGCCACTACACGCTGCAACTGCAGAGCCTGACATGAGGTATGTCCCAGGGTCCCACAGCTTTTGCTGGCTGAATCTCAACAGGTAGTCAGCAACCTAAGGAGAGCCCATGTCAGGAGGAATAGCTGTGACAGCTAAACCTGTGTGTGACTTGCTGCTTTATTCAGTGGTTATCATGAAGAGGGTAGAGAGGAAGAAAAACATTGTACCACACTTGTGTACCAGAGATTGATGGCCAAGTAAAGTGAGGAGCCTGGTTTAAGATCACAAGAGCTGGAGGGGGGTAAAAATATTATAACAGAGGTTGAAACCCTGAGTTTCCCCACCCAACTACCTTTCTGCTACCTCCTCATATGAAATAGAAGGTGATTCTCTGGTCTTCTCCTCTGAGAAGAATGGCAAACATGAGAAAAATTTGCCACACCACAACTTCTTTGAGAGCCCCTTCTTATAAAGGGGAAGTTGAGGATTAGTGGTCTGGCTCATTTTTAACTACTTTTACTGAAAGTGGAGTAAAAACTATGAAGTGCCTTCACAAGAACTCTTAAAGATTCTCTTTGTCTCATTCCAGCCTGTGACAATAGGAAAGTTTAACAAATTTTGAGTTGTACATCTGAATAAATTCACTCAAAAAACTCTCATAAGTAAAGAGGGATGGGAAGACATTAGAGACAGGTAAAATATTCAGTAGATGCAAAACGTTCATGTGACTTAATCACTGAGTCTACAGTTTTGCTGCTGTCACCATATCATACCAGCCCAGACCCTGCGCATTTCTGCTGATCTGCTCTCCAGCCTTTTTTACTAGCTTTATTAATTTTCCACATTATCATTCCTTTTCATGCATCACTTGGAGAGAATAGTTTGAGATTTCTGCAAAAGTACAGATCACTATCATTAAACAAAGCCAACACAGAAAGAAGGCAATGTTTGTACAACATGACCATGCTGCTACTTGAAAGGGAACAGTAATCTGCTTTCCCAGTAGCACATTGGATTCCTTGAATGTTTTTCACATTCTCCATGGGTACAGGAAGACCTTTCTTTGCTCTACACAGCAGTTTACCAGTTTATAAATTCCTTTTCCTCTTTATTCTCACTGGTTTGCCCCGTGCCCAGAACACATACATGGAGCACCAAAGGGTAGGGCTTTTCCATTGTGGTCACTGTCACTCTCTTGAATCCTACATCATTGCCAAAAGGGAACATGCAGTGGTCAGCTATGAAATGCTTTTTCAGCCAAGTCTGAAAGCTGGCAGTCCACTACTACAACCTTATGTGCTGGAGGCAGCATGTGAACTACATGGAAGGATAGAGACAACTTATGTGTTGATTTGATAATTGATTTATGTGCTTCAGTGCATCCCACAGAGCCTAACAGGCAAGGTGGAAAGAGAATCTGTTCCTGATCTATGCCTTTAAGAGCAGATATCAGAGAAATCTCAGCAGCATGGTTGGGTGTCTGTATATTTAAATAGCAGCACTTATGTTGCCATAATGGTTTTACAACGTAAATGAGCCAAAGTTTGTTATTGATGAAGGTTCTGCATTCAAAGAATTAGATTTCCTTCACATACAGTGGTTTCATTGATCATATCTGGGGTTGGACCATTGAGCCCTGTATCAGATTCTAAAACTATGTGATAAATGGGTTTTACAAGCATATTATGGTTATCTCACTTTCTTTCTGCTCAGTAGTCCATTTTTACCAGGGCCTGTTTTCAGGCACTGAATTTCTGAGATTTTGAGTGATTGTGCTAAACAACCACAAAATCTCTCTTCCCTTTTACAAACATTTACCAAACTAATCACAGCAATCCTAAAGCATTGTCCTTTTCAGAGTTCCTATAGTATGACTCCATTCAGAAAAGGAGGTGTAACATCTCTTTTCTACAAGTATTTGTATCCATATGCAGAAGTATTTGAAGCCAAGCAAAATCCCTACACCGGGATCTACCCAACGATCACTCTTTAGGTATTTTCTGCATTAAAAAAGCTTGACTTTGGACCTTTGGCACCCAAAGAAGGTGTTAACAATGAAGAATCTTTTCAACTGCAGAATGGCAGCTTATTCTTTTGAATAATTTACATATCTAGTTCTTTCTTACTGGTAGGGGAGAACAAATTTGATGTGCAACATTCTCAACTTGATCTGATCCACACACCTGAGCACAGTTCAATCCAGAAAATATACTGAAAGTTGTTGAAGCAAAAGCAGCAAAGTTTTTCATTGCATCTCCTATGCATGGGGATAAATGAAGGGTTGTATACATTAGTCTGTGTGTTCTCTGTACATTTGTCAGACTTCTTTCCTTTACACCTCATCATCTTAATTTCCTTGCAAAAGAGCATGCCTTTTTAATGTCCATGTTTTGAAGATTTCTAGCAAATTCACAACCTCCAGATGAGCCACAGAACTGCACAATGATCCCCTAGGATATATCCTTCCTCTTGCTAGAATCATAAGAACTGTACACTCATGTTAGGATGTGTGCTATTTGGCTTTGTTACAGCCTGTAACAGTATGGTGTTTTCCATTTCCATGGTCCAACCATGTACATGATCCAAACACTTAGCCTCCTACTATAAAACACAACCATCTTTGCCAAACTTTGGCAAAGTGGTTTCAGAACATCTTCACAGGATACCAAAAGGAAGAGAATAGTAAAATCCATGAAGTGTTAAAAATATTATTGCACTTGAATAATATTTCATGTAAGTACTTTATTGTTACTGTTCCCTCCACCAGAGGGGAGTGTTTGTAGTTCGATATTCAGTAAAATGTGAGCCCCTGCATTGCTCTGTTTTATAGCATAATAATGGCCCTATTGCAGAGACACACTGTGAGGCCTTGTAAAATACTAGGGTTTGTGTGTGTAAATATCCCGTAAGCATTGTTTACACATGCACATACACGCAAATGTGTACACTACATCACATTACTTCAAGAGTTAAATAGAGTGAAAAAATCCTTGCAGAAGCTGGCATTTCTGTTAGTTTAAGACATTATAAAATAGGTTGACAGCAAATTGCTAAGCTACCAAAAACTGCACATGTGTATAGTATTACACACCCTGATTCTGGCCTGGCAATCAGCACAAGAATTATTCCTAGTGGATCTGCTTTTAATTCCCAGCACTAAACTTTCATTGTTACAGTAAGCTACATAGTCCTGTTTGTTTTTCTCACATGACAAAGCTTAGACCAAAGATTCTGACCTGTGCCCATCACTGATACTGATTTCTCACAAAATTGCACATTTTGTTTTTTAAAAATCTGTCAGTTTTTCAAGTTTAGTCAGGAGTACAGCACACTGACTGTGTCGTTGCTTCCACAGGCTTCTGAGTGTGCTTCTGCAGCAGTCAAATCTTAGAGAAATTAATCATCAGGCCAATGAGGTGAGTGAGTTTGTTCTACAAGTCACAGTCCCAGGCTCTGGGGGCTTAGAAGTCATTCTGTCCAGAAAGAGTCCACTGTACAATCACTTTTATGATGAGATTATGCACTAATCAAAAATGTCTATAATGCTTTTGCTGAACTCTGCAAAGTATTATCTCATTTTTCCTACTACACATCATGCACCTATAGACTAATAAACCATCTCCATATACAGGCAACTATGAAGTACCTTGAATGAGTCTCTTAAATCACTTATCAAGACAGTAATTGCCTTTGATTCTTCTGCAGTTAGACACTGGACTGAATCTCCAGCTTTACCAATCCTAAGTGTTCAAGGCCAGGTTGGATGGAGCTCTGAGTAACCTGGTCTAGTGGAAGATGTCTCTGCTCGTGGCAGGGAGGTTGGAACAAGATACTCTCCAAACCATTCTGTGATTCTATGATTCCTTGATCCCATCATTCAACTACTGATCTCAGGAAAAGTATCAAAGAGCTGGTATTACACAGAACAGCCACGGAACTACAAAATTTATGCTGTTCTGTGATCCATACAGAATTATGTCCTGTGTGTATATCTGTAGGGTACATAGGAGACTATTAACCTCCCATGTATATTTTTCTCCAAAGAGAGAAGCCAAGACACAAGAGAGATTCTGAGTGTCTTTTCATGTTTCACTTCATTCTAACAATTGCTCAAGGACATGTCTCTTCTCCACAGTGCCAGAATGGCCAGAGGGCTGTTGGTATTTCCTCTTGCTTATCTATTGGAACATTTGCACACCCTCCTCTCAGCATCCTAAACCAGACATATGCTTTGTCTTGGTGTAGAATTATGTTGCTAATGAATTGCATGAAACAATGGGTCATAATTTCAAGCTGTAATGCTTTACTGTAATGCATTGCTACATGCAATTTGGAACTTTTAGTCCATCTCACTGTCATTTGGCACTGACAATGTATTTGTTCAAGAGTCAGTACTAAGCCCTGAATACTCATGCTTTCTGAAAAATGTGGGTCCTCACAAAGGATTGCAGCTAATAGAGCTTTTCTCTTGGCATAAATAAAACACTTACGTTTTCCCATCTGACACTTGGAAAAGACACCCTGATGAATGCATGAACACATAAACAGTAAGAAATACATCTGGAAGTTTCATAGTTTCCACAACTGTGGCTTTCTATGGGTTTACTTACGAAGCCTGTGAGATGACAATGTGAAGAAACATTCCTTGAAAAAGCCTTGAATCTGGGCAAATCTGTATTTCTCACTGCCGTTTCTTGGCTTTTGTCCTTTTATGTCCCCCATTGCTCCTTATTTTTTGCATCCTCATTTCATCCTTATGTTTGGCTGTCTCACCGTTAAGATTATATTATGCTGGACCTTCAACTTTGACAGTTTTGACATCACTTTCATGCTTCCTCTCACAGTGGTCTACCTACACATGCCACTTAAGGGTGGTAATACTATGCACAAATCAAACAGTGTGGGCTAGACAGCCAGACAGCTGTTGCCTGCTGTAGAAGGCCCACATATGTGAGCTCCTGCTACAAACAGCTCAATGCACTTTGCTCAGTTGGGTGCTCCAAAAGGACAGAGTGCTAGAAAGGATGTAGAGAACGAAACAGGAAGCTCTGTCTGAATCCTTGGTACTGCCACATGGCAAGTGTCAGATGCAAGAGCAGTTTGAAAAAGGATATACAACAAAAGGAACAAAAAAAGGACTACAAAGATGATAATAGTTATAGAGCAGCTTCCTTTCATGAGCAGGCTAACAACTAGAACAAACAAACTACAATAGGACTTTCAACCTGGCAACTGTGTCAAAGGGACAATATAAACCCATGGTAACATAAACTGCATAGAGAAGATGAAAAGAAATTCATTACTAAATGGAAGGCTTTTTTCATATAGAATTACAGGAACACCTACAGAAATTACCAGGTAGTAGTTTCAAAGAAAACTAAACACTTTTTCAGAAAATGCATGACCCTGTGGAGGTCTGTGGAGGTCTAAATGTCGTAGGAAATCTTTAGCCTGATTACCAAATATTAGGTAGCAGTATACTGTCAAGCCTTATTTCTTATATTTTTGCATCTGCTACTGACCTGTTTGAGCTGTGTCCCTGTACTAGGGAGATCTTTGCACTGTACCCACAGTTTTACATTCTTATGGTACAGCTGATTCTGGTGGTTACCACAGTAGAAACAGAAAGAAAGTTGATTTTTCAAGGATCTTCTTTGTCCATATCAAGAGAGAGAGAGAGAGAGGATGACAAAAAGCTGGCCTAGTAGAATGTAGCTTCTCCTTTTTCAGTGATTTTTCCTGCTCTCAAGGACCAGCAATGAGTACCAGTTTCCCACCTGGGAATCATTTAAGTGAAGCCTCATATCACTCATTCATATCACTAAAATACTGAGTGTCTGTCAACAGTACTAAGTCCCTTGTGTCAAAATCTTAGACTACTGACATCACTGGCAAACCTCCCATTAATTTCAGTTAGAGCAGGAGCTTACCCTCAAGTTTGGTTTTACAAAATCAAATTAACCCCCATAATTAAGCTTTGCAAACCATAACTAAAACCAAAACTGCTCTTGTTCAACCGCTCTGTTTCATCATCACACAGACTTAAGCCACCTGGGGGCTTAGAATATACCCGATGAATGAGAGAAATTAATGTTAAGGCATTCAAGCTTTTAGTCAGAAAATCACTGCAAACAACCCCCACTATTAGTGCACTGATAAGCTGTCTGTATCGATTTGTTATAGCTCATAATTTACCTGAGTTGTTATCAATTGGCTTTACAGGGTTCTATTTCAAGTTTTAATTTCTTTTCCACTTTTATCATTTTGGAAACCAAACAAGAGCCTTGGAATACATTTTGCCCACTAAGAGGGAGTAAACAACACCTGCCCAAAACAAAATGTAACCACACCTGAAAAACACTAGCAATTTTTAATAAACACAATAAATGATTAAATTTATCTAGAAAATCTTAGTTATTATGGATATAGAGTAAAATATAGGTTTATGTAACAATGCTCATGGTGCAAATACAGGCCATGAATTCTCTGATCTACCAAGACTGACTGGATGCAGCTAAGATGGAATGAAGATGCAGGTGAATAGCTTATCATTCACTTTGTTTTCTCTCAAAACAGTAAATGTAAGACATTTATATTGTGACTTTTTTGTTGACATCACTGTGTCAGTTCTTTATCTTGCAGACTAGTGCCAGCTACAGTACTAGCTTACAATGTTTATTTTGGATCAAAGATAAGACCAAACATAAACATCACACTGTATAATGTCAAAGCACCAGTCTAAAGCAGGCTTTTCACACAAGATCCAGGCTGAGCGGTGAGGAACTGTCTGCCAGCCATCGTGGTCCTGACCAAGCACTGTTTATAACATGATATAGTCACATACAGAGGAAGCATTTGTATTTGTATCTATTTTCTGTAATAACTCCAAAAAGCTCGTTGCTTGGTTCCCCCTTAACCACTCCCCTAATTCAGAAGCTGCTGCTAATTATTTCAAATCAAGATGGAGAGGGAACCATCCTGGATGGTTTCACAACTGCCTAGCTTATCTATAGAGACTTGAAGGGTGCTCCTGTGAGCAACAGTAATTTCACCTCTGCGCTTGTGGCTTGCAGGGAATGACTTCACTCCACTGGGCTGCTTCCCACAACAGACTCCAGCACACCCAGACTCTGCTGCACAAGGGAGCAGACCCAGCTCTGGTGGACAAGGACTTCAAAACGGCTCTGCACTGGGTGGTACAGGTGAGCCACTGGGATGTTTACTGAGCTGAGTTGGCTACTGTAGTGCCCCAAATACTCCCGAGAAAGTTTTGGCTCTGAGCTGAGGAAAATGGATGCTAGGAATGCCCACTAAGCCCCAGTATTTTGCAAGCGGTTATAAATCAAGGACCTAGCATCTTTGGAGAGCAAGGCATACTTAATGTAGGCTTAGCACTGTTGCCCTAAACAAAGTTATTATGTATCTCACAGGGACTATGTGCATGCTTCATGTTGAACGCATGCCTAATTTTTTTAAACTAAATCAGGTTTGCAGAAATCAGCAGCTTAAATAGTCTTGGCAAAGGCTGTTGGGAATAAAATAATGTAAACACAAGTTAAAACACATTTGAACAACTACAGCTGTGGAATAATTAGCTGAAGGGCTGAGACCCTACTTCTTTGGGGAGTGGGGAAGACAAGGAGTTAAACGCATTTCCTACTGAGCTGTATGTTTCTATCTCCTGTGCAAAAAAAATTGTCAAATACTCAGGCCATCATTAGAGAAACAAACTGTAGGTTTAATCTGATATGAAACACTGTACTATGTAGTTGGTAGTAAGTGATCTAAAATGCAGCGTAATTTGCTAGGTTTTGCCTAGTTTACTGCAGAAAACTTTCCAGATGAAATTGTATGTTTTTACTTGCTGACCTGACGTAGCAAGTTCTGGTATCAGTGTCCAAAATACCTGCACAACAGATAAGCAGAAATAGAACTTGCACAGAAATTCAGTAACATTTTCATACAGTGAATAAATATGTGTATCCTCACCTTTTGGTCTAAGTTTGCTCTTCTTAAAAAAAGTGTCAACAAAGAAATTTAAAGGCTCTGAACTGCCACATGCTGTATTTGTAAAGGGATAAGGACATTTAGAACAAACCATCTGTTTCCTTCAACCACAGCCTCCCACGGATGGTTAACATGCAATAGGCTCAACTTCTGCTTTTCTGAAATAGAGGTATATTTTGGCCTCTGCAACAGGTATTGTTTCAATTCTTCTTTAATCCTAATCAATCCTAATCTTCTTTAATCCAATCAATTGGAATTGCTATTTGCCTTAGGAGACTAAAGATATCTACTCTATCCGTTGTGCATTTTTACCAGGCTTATTCCAGTTCCGGCTGCTTCCAGTGGGAAATCTCTGAAACTCATGTGAGCTCCTTCATGCTAGACAGTGGTCTGTATCACAGTCCTGGGTACGAGCTGTCCCTCTAACAGAAAGACAAAAGGCAATCCCCTTAGAGTTCTCCTCCTTCCTTAAGCTTTCTCTGATTCTGTATTTTGTACATTTTATTATTTAGTTCCACCATTAACTCCCATCCCTGTCTTTCTCTCACAGTATGTACAGAATAACTCTTGAGAAACAGGAAAATGGAAACTGCACAAAATCCACTTGGCCTCAGGTAGAGGCAAATCACAAATCTCTCTTCTTTCTCCCTTTAAACTGCTCACAGAAATCAAGAGGAAATGTGCAGGATGACCCCCCACTTTTTTTTCTTGAGAGATTCTTGCCATGAAACCTTATAAATTGCCTCATCTATCCACATACTTCTCCACATTCTAGGTCCAGAAGGGGCAATTGAAATGCCAGAGCATGAAATAGATCTGTTACTATTTCTCTTACTCAAGCTTGGCCAAGAAATAAAAACACTTTCAGCCAGCACGCTCTGCTACCCTGTTAGACTCTAGAGACTTAAATACTGTGGACAGGTACGACTTTTTCTGCTGTGATGGAGAACAGAACAACAGCTCTGCTGGATGGGATCATCATTATGTCTAATAGCCTCCTCTATGGCAGCTGGAAATGGGATATTTTTCCTTTAAGAGTTGTATGAGTATCTTTAGAGAACAAGAGACTCACAGAGCTCAGGCAGTACCAGCTGTGGTGGTTATTTTCAGCTGAATAGGGCCCAGTGTTTAATTTCATTTTTTAAAAAATGCAGTAAGGGGAAGACCAGGCACTGCAGTGAAACTTATTTCATATGTTGCAGGAAAGAGTCAGTTTATGCAAACTGGGTCGAAACAGAGCAGGGCCACATAAAAACCGTTACCCACCATTCAAAACCAAATTCTTGCGCATGGGGCATGTTTCGTATGAAGTCATTGTTCCTTGCTGGCTGTTTCAAAGACCATGTGTTTGTGGCTTTGTCTTCCGTCAGACATCATGGGCTGATCAGTCCCAGCCGTGCAACCAGACAGACCTTGTCTACAGCAAGGTCTGCTCTTTTGAAAAGCTCAAACCTCCTGCCACTCGGATTCACATCTTCAGAGCAAATGTGTCACATCAGTGTCAAAACCACTGATCACGACTGTTTGAAGTGAGAATATCTCGTGCCACATTTTTTACACATGCAGTAATGTTAAGAGCTGGTGCTGACATGGCTATTAGAAGTGTCTCTGGAGGTATTTCTCTCCTTTCACTGCAGCTAGCATTAATTACTGTAATGAAAAGGAAACACACCTTTGTAACAAAAAACTGTTAACTGATACTGGAACAAAGTCTAAAGCCATTCTTACCATTCTAGATAACGATATAGTTAAAATCCTAGTAAAATATAGTGTATACTCTACCGCATATACTGTCATACTACTTGCTATTTTACTATAACAGTATTATTAGTACCTTGGAAAGCCTTAGAAGATCTGGAAGCTTCCTACATTGCCTTGACAGTTGTCATTATTTTTACCAGAATTTTCTTTGTCTCTTTCTCGAAGACTCTGGCTCCCAAAGTCATATGATTATGTAAAAATATCAGCTTTCAGATAAAGAATAAACAAAGATTTCTTCTAAAGTGAAAAATCCAAACCTCTAGGGATAAAAAGAAAGCAAGTAAAAAGAAGCCATTAAAAATAATATTCTACCATGTGGATCTGTGCTTCTGATTTTTTAATTGGCTGCTTTGTAGTACAAAGTTTAAAAAAATTAGGAACCTACATATCTGCTCCATAGCAACAATGCAATTATCTCGTTCTCCACCTGAGAACAGAGTGAAATACCTGTAGACGTTAAACACACTGTGAAAGAAAAGCATAGGTAATTATTCATTTGTGTTTGGCTGAGCAAGCATTGCAGCTTCTCTGTAATTACTTGGAAAGTGAGAGCACACTTAAGTGTCAGGGTCTCTAGGAATAAATCTCTCTGTTGCTGGTGGGCATCTCGAAGACACAGCTGGCCACACATCCAGAGCAGAGGAAGGGGCCAGGGAAGGCAGCAGTGGCTCAGGATCTCTCCCAAGGGATCACTGCTCTCCTTCTCTCTGCCCAACACCCCATTCTTTAATGTGGGCTGCATACAGTGGAAGAATTCAGAGAGACTTCTAAAGACCTCTTGAAACTTAGATTGGCCAGAAAAGGTGCGTTTGCTAAGCATTTCTTTGACTGCAAAATCATGTTTGCTTTCTCCTTGTTTCATGCAGTTTTCTAGAGATTTCTTGAAAGGGAGAGTAGTGATTTCCTTGTTCACTAAGCTTTAAAAACAATTTTGAATATTAACAAACAAGTCAAAAAAAAATTCAATTTGCATTTTTTAACCATACCCTTAAGAAACCTCTTTCTTGTGTAAATATTGTCATTCCAGCAATGGTACAGCTGTTGCTGATGGAGGCTGGAACATTGCATAGCAGCAGGGCTCTACAAAGTGAGCTGTCAAGTGTAAAACAAGAAAGAGAGTTTGGAAATAGTTTTGAGTAAGAAATAAACTTATTTCAATACCGTCAGAAGCTTTTTCCATAAAGTGCCCTAAATATTTGTGTCAGTGTCTGCAATAGTGAATTAAATGTGCCTGAGTGTTGGCTCTGGCACTGAGGCCAACCATCATGGGACCTGTGCCCCTACTCCTAAACTCTTTTTTCTCTAAAACAGGATGGTCATATGCAGACCACCTACTGGAAACGGTCTGTGGCCCATGCTAGCTCCAGGAACTGGTAGGGAAAGTGTTAATTGACCCAAGACAAAACAATGCCAGTGAGAATTTTAAGAATTTTATGGTACAGACAACTGAGTTCCAATGCTGAGGGATGCTCCCTAGTGCTACTTAGCTTTTTATATAGCTGCAACCTATTTCTTCACTTTATGACAGTTTGTAAGCAAAGGTCCTTTTGTGATTTCTGCATGGTACAGCAGTATTGATATAAAAGCTCACCAGTACAACCAGATCATGGAAAAACTGCCTTTACTGAAATAATTGACTGATAAACAGTAAACTCTTCAAGTATGAATGTGCCATTGATGATGTAATTATACATACCAATCAGATTTTTGAGGTAATCAACTGAAGAACTCCCACTGAGCTTAGCAGGAGTTTGTCTCAGGCAAAGCCTGTATGTAAGTACAGTATAATTGCAAGACCTCTTCCCAGCACACAGTACATGTGTAACTCCACAAGTGAATGCCAGAATGTGAGTAATGCACATGCACTACACTTTTTGCATATCTACACTGTTTGTCTGATCTCCTGTGCCTGACAAAAGGCATTGGAAGACAAATGCTTCCATTTCTCTGATAAAATTAATCCTTATTCTACTGCAGAATTTTAAAATTACGTCTTTTTCAAAGCCTGTAAACATCTCATCCAGAGAAATCAGTCCTCACAACAATGTAATGGCAGGGGAAAGTTGCCAAGTAATTTTAGTCATAGTCTGTTGTGGTGAGTTCACCTTGGCTGAACACCAGGTACCCACCCAGCCGCTCTATCCCTCCCCTTCCCAGCCGGACAGGGGACAGAGTAAGGTGGGAAAAGGAAACAACACAAATTGTGGGTTGTGATAAGGCAGTTTATATTGATGCAAGAAGAAGAAAGCAAAAGCAGCTGCGTGCACACAAAGCAGGAGCCAGCAGTTAATCTCTGCGTCCCATAAGCGGCGATGGTTGGCCATTTCTCTGAGACGCAGGGCTCCAGCACGTGTAAGGGTTGTCAGCAGGCAGCCAGCAGAGACAATGAGTGCCTCCGGTCCTGCTCCTTGCCTCAGCTTTTATATCTGGGTTG